TAATTCAATAAAACTGCATGTAAAAGATACATTACTTCCGAACACAAACATTCTATTAATAGGACAGAAGTTGCCATAGAAGCTCATCTGAGTACACCCAGTTGTAGCAAATTAGCTTTGACATCCAAATACAAAAAGTACTGGTTACCGACACACACTGGGAGCTGACTCGGAGATAAGGCAAAGAAGGGTAAGATCCTACTCTTGGAAGCATTTCTAAAAAGGTCATAGTGGAATGAAACATCCCACAAGGAGCTGTAGTGAAAGTGTCATTCACTGACAACACTGACCAAACGAGAGAAGAATCTGAGGATCAAGCTGGAGGTCAGATAAGGATGAAACCTAAAGGAGGAATGTGTATGATACAAGGGTGGGTAATTCTCCCCTGTTTGGTTCTTTCCATAGTAAACACTTTTACATTAACAAAGCTCAGGAAAAAAACACTAGTTCTCATTCTGCTTCTCTCCACATCCATGCCAACTAGCAACCTGGAAGCAACTCTGCTATACGGAATCTTTATGATTTTCCCAGTGCTGCCTCAGAAAGTTCTCAAGATTTTTGGAATGCTGTACATTGAGTTAATGAGAGAAACTGTTTTAGAAAATAATTTAAATATGTGAAATAAAAAAGCATAAAGAGTCCCAATTGTATAAAGTATGCTTTCTGACCATTTGATACGCAGCCATCAACACCCAGGGTTTAATTTTTAATATGAATGCCAGGAAGATGAGAGCTGCACTTACAGCTCTTACTGCCATAGCACCAGCAGAGCACTAAGACAGAATAAGGAAATTTCAAAGAGGTAACCAACACTTTTATGTGAGATTCAGCCACACTGATGTCAGAAACATCCACAACTTTAGTTCTTGTAAATTTTAAGTCAAAAACACCCTCTAATATTAGGAATGAAATGATGGTTTCAATGTAAGTTACTGAACTTTACCATAAGCTCAATATGCCAGCTATCAGTTGAGGCACTTTCCACCCAACTTCATTAAGTAAATAAAAAATACTTACGTAGCATTACTGAATCCAACATACTCATTACCAGCCATTTTATTCATGAATTGCATCACCTGTTAGAGACAGAGAGGGGGGGGGAGCGTGCTAACATTTTCAGATATTGAAAAGTTACAACTGATGAACTTCCATTCCAGCCTTACCCTAAATCTTGTAAACACAATTTTACGAATGCAATCCAAACCACTAAATGTTTAAACAACCAAGTACAGATAAAAAGAGAAAACATTTGAAATCATTAAAATTTCACTTGCATTTCCCTTGCCATCTTGAGACTTTTACCACCGAATTTAGTTAAAAAAGGAATATCAACTTACATAGTCAAATTTTTCTGCATTATTTGCTCCTTGCTGCAAGAAAAGAAAAAATAATTTACAAATATTGTTAACATAAGAAAGAAGTTAGTTCACTTAACAGTATTAGGATTTTTAATGCATATAACTAAGGTATGAGGCTAATTAAGAATGAGGTACTACAATAATTTCATATATTAATGAAAAAATTAAAGTGTTAGATAAGTAAATCTTTAATTATCATTTAAATTAAATAATCCTTTAAGAATCTTATCAAACACCTGTATGTTGGAAATTAATTTAAACTGAGAAAGGTATGCTTTATTTTAAGTGCTCTCTATTCAACTTTAAGTGTTTAGCATAAGTAAATGTAGTAGTTAAAGCAAAAAATACAAAAGTAACTACAAGCAGGATAATTGTAACAAAAACACTAATTTTTTATAGATTAGTAACCCAAAGGTATTCTTATATTACCAACAGAGCTGAGCATAGGAAAGTTCAGGCTACTGAAGTTAAGACACTTCCATGGCTAGCACCCATACTAAGAATTTAGATTGAAGACTTCAAAAAAAGTGTTACCCCTTACTATGAAAACAATTGTATTTAATCAAAAATATCTGATTTGATTAATATCTGATTAATGTCCTACCTATTAATTAAACTGTTAGAAAAATAGAATTTCACATCATAGAGTATATCATTGTGCTAACAATGTAAGGAAAAAATCTAAATCCAACTTAATAAGGATGCTACTGAAACTTAATTCCTGGGGTTGGTTGGGTTGGGTTTTTTTTTCAGGGGGAGGGGGGACGACAGGACAAGGGGTCTTACTTTGGGGTTTGTTTTTTTTTTTTTCCCCTCCCCGTTTAAGAGCATTCTCAAATTTAACAGCTGCCAGTTAAAGATTTATTAATTCCTTACAGGTCTCCGACAGGTGACCTTCCACAAATTCCTACAGCAAGACGTCGAAAGGGGGGTGGGAGGTAAAAAGTAGCTCATGGACTACTGCGAGGTTCTTTTAATTTTTTGAAGTAGCCAAGTAGAATTTTTTGAGGAAGTTTAAAAAACAATGGCATCACATACACAAGTAGAAACAATGTATCTGAAGATGTTTTTCTAAATAATTTTAGTATTAAAGATACTCTATTTAGATAGCAAAACTCTGTTAACATCTCAAACAATTCAAGACACTACTTGCAGTGTGTTTAGTATGGGAATGAGGAAGGAAATGGAAAAAACCTGAAGCTTTCTATCAACCAGTATTTTACTTAATGAAACGCGTAAAGCCAGTCTCATTTCCCACTCTGTATGTGGATTAGGGTGTTGCAGATAATCTTTGAAGCCCATGCATCAGCTCATCTACAAGAGGATGTGCAGTCATACACGTACGATCACTAGCTGAAAGGAACACCACACTGTTTTGTCAAAATTATGCGCCAGTGGTTACCTTATGCTCAAAGGCTAATAACCTTACTCTTAAAGGCAATAATCTCTAGCTAATTTGCAATAAGATAAAAAAAATCATGATACATTTCATCAAAATGTTCCTGTATAATATACCAGAACACAAGTTTTAAAAATTTAACTCCAAATCTGTTCAATGAAAAATAATTAAAAGAAGAAATTACCAACTTCATTGAACTGTTGCAGTTGTCAAAATATTCCATAGATCCTAATGCTGTAAAATATGTAACAACATTTAAACCACAAAAACCTTTTCAACCTTTCAAATGCACAATGAACATCTTTTTCTGGGAAAATGGGTCAGCATTAGTTATGGGATGCTGCATTGATAATTGTATGGTTAGACACGTATAATAAATTGAAACAAGTTCTTTTGTTAAAAAAAGAAAGAGGGAGAAAAGGATCATGCTTTCTGCAAAAATATAAATACGTAATACTTCACTTTTTTTTTTGGTCCAGTTGAAAAAAAAATTTCCTAGCCCTTCAACAAAAACCTGGCTTTACTAGCAGCATATAAAATTGGTGGGCAAAAGACTCAATGCAAACTTTTTCCACATCAACTGGTTATGAAAAAAGGTTTCTTTTTAAAATTTACATATAATGTCATATTTGGGGAAGAAAATCTGTATACTAACTCAGATGATGCGTTTTTAGTCCTTGATGTTCCACACACTGGTATAGGTACTTTATATCAAACAGAAAAACACTGTTACTGAAATTAAGACTGCTCGTATACCTAAAATATTTGCCTAAGTAATCACATGACCAAGATCTCAGTAGGGATTTAACATAACGCATAAACTAAAACAGAAAACTTTGCTTTCGTACACGATGACTAAAACCCAACATACTAGTTTCCCTCTTTCAGCAGCTGACAGAGGTATGCTGCTCCTCCTAAAAAGCTGAAGAGACACAGAGGCAATACACATTCTATGATTAAAATTAAATTGCAAATATAAAATCCTAACATTCAGAATACTGAGCAACTTTTGCATAATAATTTAAACAAATATAAGAGACAAGAAAACTTCTGTTCTTGCACAAGTGCTTCTTATTTTCAGCTTGACTGCATGAGCCTATGAGGTTGGGGGCACTGCCACAATGTTTCTTTGAAAGCATTTTTATTTAAGTTCAGGTGCAATTCATCTGTCTAGAACATCAAAGGAAACGTTCCATGCACTAACTCCACAAACACTTAGTACATTTACTGAAACATATGTTAATATACACACTTACTGTACACATGCTTGTGTGTATATACATATGGAAAAACACTTCTAAATGAATACAAAATGAAATTGAAGATTTAAGATTGAAGCAGTTTGATAGGCAGAAAATTCAAACTTACAGAAGACAGCTCAATACAATTTTTTAAACAGTTAAAAACACAATGGACACTATGGCTGTCAATCAGAAATTTGAATTTTTTTATTGTGTCAGGTTTTGGTGATCTTCCCTTTCCCTGGCCCCAACAAGGTACTTTTACTATTTGTATTTCTACTAGAAAAATACTAAGCAGTTGCACAGGTTTCATGCCTACATGAACACAGGAAAGAGGAGCCCCGTGGATACTTACCAGAGCTTGCAACAACAAAATTAAGCAATGTTTATTATAAAAGTAGTTAATATTAGCTACTTTTCATTGATCAACATTCAGTGTTTATACTATTAGACCACATAAGCTCTTCCCATGTGTCTCTTGTTAAAATAGTTTTTCAATTTTTAATCTAAGCTAAGCTAATAAAAACTTCTGGATCATAAGAAGTTTATAATCTTCTAATAATAGATTATTTAATTTTTATTTTTTTTAATTTTTAAAGCCAAATTTATAACCTAACACTATACTGTGATGAAAATATCCAAAAAAAAAAACCTTAATAATGCCAGAGTGCAAGAAATTACTTTTTTTTTTTTTAACATTAGTGCATTTCACATTAACTATTACTGTCTTTATTTTAGTTTTCTGTACTTACATACATTTTTAATTTTATTTGTTAATCTGGGTCTGTTCTGTGAGAACTGGTGTCTTGACTGCTTAGCATGCCATTTTCAGCTCTGAAATACTTGAGAGCACACTGTCATGGACAGTACTTGACCTACTAAGACCAGTATTATTACTATTTCAAATGTAACAAATATTTTTGTGTCCTTCAAGTACTAAATACATAATTTAATATGACCACTGAAAACACGTAATTTCAAATACCACTACTCCATATCCTATGTCAAATAACATCCAATACATTTGAGTTACAACAAAAAATAAGTGCATAATAACATGAATGTACACTATCCAAAATTATTTACTGCAGGAAAATTAATAACCCAAGAAGAGAGGAAACTTCACCAAAATAAAGACAAGTATCTGGCAGAGAAGATTACAATGCCAAGACATGTTTTAAAGTAGTATGTATGTACACTTACACATCAGTCTATCAGGAAAGATAACTGGAGTGGGTATCATAGAGCAATTAACCTAAATTTGTACTATTTATCGTAACTATATTGTCAAATAAACCAAATAAACCATGTATTTTCCCACTCCTTAAGTACGAGACCATAACTGTATAGGTTTCCTAATAACTGTATCCTGACAACAAACAGACCCTTGGCATAGCTGGACAGCTTTTTCCACCACTCTTTGCCTCATTTATAAATTTTATGACTTATCAACATATTTAGAAAACTCTTAAGTGTTTCAGGCACATCTCTGTTTCATACAAAAAGGAAAAGCTTTCATTGAATTGAGTTTTTTCAGGGTCAGTAAGATCAACATTTTCTTTTTCTTGTACACCAAATTTTTTGCAAGGACTATGAACATTGCTATGCACCCGCCACCATTTAAATGCTTCCCACGTTAATTCATCACCATTAATACCTCCCTTCACCGAGCATTCAAGTCTATCATCACTGTCTGTGTAAGATTCTGCATGTGGTTGTCAGCACTTAGAGGATTTATATGCTCTATATTTGCCCAAACCTTTGCTGTTATACCAGGAAAGCTTTTATCTACAGATGGAATCTTGAAGCATACAATAAAAAAGACTTAAGATTAATCCCTTGTCCTCTGGTGATTCCTTCTACAGCCATCTGCCACCTTCTACGTCTTTCACTCTAAACACTTCCTCTTCATCTCATTTGCACCTCTAATACACCACCCTCCCCAGGCAGTACAGATACGTGGAAGTGGGCAATTGCTGGCACAACCACTGATATTCCTGGAGTTGACACGCTTTGAGAATTAAGTTTAAGGTTTAAGAAAAAACAATAGATCAAAGCATTAATATCTATCCATACTACAGGCAATGTGATGTACAGAAAGTTGCGTGGTTACAGGACACTGAATCTGTACTAAATCTGTACAGGAGCTAAACCTTCTTTCAAGCACCTGTATTTCCTTGCAGACATGGAAGAATTTACCATTTTATCTAACATCACCTTTCCACACACTCCTGTAATTGCCACTACAATTTTCTTTTGACAGCAATTATTTGAAAATTCTTATAACTATGTCATTTATCTAACTAGCAATAAAGGCAAATGGCTGTACAATTACAAACAAGGGAAAAGGTCCTTAGGGTTTTTTGAAAATTTTATTTCATTAAAACTGGACCACAGGGTGTCCTTTTGCTAAAGCATTCGTATTGTAGATAAATGCTTTACGTTGCTGGAACAGTCTGTGGAGTGTAATGCAAGTACAGTCAGAACAGAGCTGCGAGTTAAGGTACAAAAACGTAAACACGTCGCAGTTCCAAGCACATGACAGTAGGAGAATCACTTAAGCTGATGAAAGTATGACATAGTCATGCCTAAGTGAGCCATGCCTAAGTGAGCCAAACAAATGTACAACTTAACATGCATATATGGTTTATTATTATGAATCGCAAGGACTAAACATAACATTACAGTTTAGGTCTATGCTCTGTTCCAAGGTGCATATACCAAATTCTTAAGGCAGTCAGACCTGACTATGTGATGCTAAGAACCCTTTTTCCCCCTAAAATGTTAACATATTATGTACTCTGACAAAAAGAGTACCCCAAGCACCATTTCTTATCCACAAGTAACCATAGTTTGCATCAGATTCTAAGGGCAGTTGTGTGCAAGATCATGCATGCTAACAGCTACTACCTTCTGTACAATGTATATAAATTTTTAAAGACTTCTTATATATCTATTTCTCAGAAAGAGATAAAATAATAAGTATCAAAGGTGGTAAAAGTATTCTTAACACTGAAATACAGCAACAATCTCTCCAAAGCTATCAATATGCTATCATTAGACAAATCTGTCATACATGGTGAACTCAACCATGTTTAATAATCCCTTCATTTTCTTGTACTCTAGGAGCCATACACAGTCTTCAGCATATGCAAGTAACACCTTAAATAAACCAAATTAATGCAGAGGAACTGAGGGCAAAACATGGGTTAAAGAAGCCAGCTTTTCCAGAAAAAAAAAAAAGTAAGTCTTAATTAGATCACATATAAACGTGAATTACTTAAATCGTTAAATAGTTAGTAGGAACACTGTTAAGTTGCAGGTTGTAAAGAAGTTATTTCACAAAAAATACAACTATTAAGTATCTTTGTACCTGTGACCCTCTATGTAATTTTATTCAGAATATGTTTAGTTTGGTTAGTTATTCAAATGATAAATGGTATCTTAGTGAAAGCAGTACATAAAATAATCTACATTTTAATCACACTGAAAACAAATAATGGAGTGTGGTAAGTAAGATACGTGTCCATTAGACGTGCAGTTACCACATGCAAAAATATTAGTGCAATGCAATACTCTTCATAAGAACATTACAGAAAACAAAAACAAAATAAAAACAGCAAAACCAATCCCCCAACCTTCTAACAAATATCACAATTGCATGCAGTAAACAAATCGATGTTATCTACTCAGAAGTACACCATTTATCAAGAACTACGTGCCTTCTGCAAGAGGCACATGCTTGTGTTTTGCCTTAAGACCAGTAGGGCATGTTGTAGTAGGACTAACATTTTGACATTTCAGACAAATGTGTTAAGTCAGATTTTAAAATTCACTATTATCCAAGTGAATTTCAACGCTCAGTCAACCTTTAAAATATATTAAATGTGAATAAATTTACCTGTCATACTTAAGGCCATTTTCTTTCACCTACAGCTATTAAAGATAAATGTCTTTAAGCAGGAGTTCTTACACCTTCTTTAAATATAAAATAACAGAAAATCATGATCTAAGTAATTTTAAAATCAACAATTTGGAAATAGAAGGTAGGAAACACACTGTAGCTAATGGACTTTGAAACATAAGCAAGAAAAAGGCTGTAAACAAGATTGTTAGACCTCTAAAGTAACATTATTAAGTTTTCTGCTTCAAAACTCAAGGGGACTGACTTGTTCCCCAAAACTCTAAGCACATAGACTTAGGGGAAGAAAAAGGAAAAAAAAAAAGAAGTTTTTTGTACCAGTGGCTACCAAAAAAAGGCAGAAAATACAAGTAAGTATCTGGCAAACATTAGCATTACATGGAATTTATGTCATTTACAACTTCAAGATATATATACAGTTATTCTAATGAAAAAATAAAATACAGCTTTCCAAAAGTCTCAAGATCATGGACTAAAGATGTTAAGTCGTTACTCAGCTCTGGTTTACTCAGCAAAATATGGGTAACTGTTTCCAAACACAGTTATTTAAGAGAGCAAATTTAACATCCCAACAGAGACTACATAACATTGAAGTTAAACATAATTTAGTTGTACAGTATGTTAATAGTGGACAAATTCAGTATTACGACTGACATGAAAATATAGCTACATTGCTCCCGTACAAATTATAGTACCTTCCATTTCTTCTGCACAGGAGGAAATACTTTTGTAACTTTACGCTATATGAGAACATTAGACACTCAGAAACGTATTTCTGAGTGCTATAAAGTATATTCCTGAGGACATACTCTTAGCATTTAACAAGTATGAGGCAATCCCCTCAAGAGACTATCAAGTCTTGTGCAGTTAAAGGAAACAGAACTAAAAACACTAAGGAAAGAGTTTTTCAGCTGCATTGTTACTTTTTAGAACCTGCTAGTCTAATACTGCATTTGTTTGGAAGCGTTACTATTTCCAAAACATCAGAGCTTGTCTACCTGCTAATGAGTCAACTGCCATCAGATATCCCACACATAAAAATAAAAACAGGTCATAACCTGTGCAAGATACTTTTTCTACATTCTGTTAAAATACTCTGAGAGAAACTAAAAATGAACTTTTTACCTTGATTAAAGATGTGATCACAATTGCTCCAGCATTCACCATAGGGTTATGAGGCCTGTCTGTGAAATAAAGTTTTCAATTACAAATACACCCCAAGACACATTCGTCAAACATAACCAGTCAAGTGTTTAAGTGAATTAACTATTAATGTATGACAAAGCTATGACTATGGAACACAATCTTAAACTAAAAATACAGTCATCCAACATTATACACAATGTTTTACAACTCTGAGCAAAGTATTTTACAGCTTAGAATACACTGAGCCTTATGCTACTTAACTGTCCAGTAAATTAATCAGTTTGGCATCATTTCTTTTCTTGAAAATTATTAACCCTCTCCAGTGTTCCAAGATTTGATCAATGCAACATTTGCAAGTGGAACAAGCCCTAAAAGACTTTCCAATTTTTCTTCTAAGTTATCAAGTCTCAGTGATTTCAAAAGTGTTCAAACAGGCCCTTAATAAAAATAATTCCAAATAATTCCAGTTCTTTAACTTCCTTAATGCTGTACATTAATACAAAATCCGTATTCTTTTTAAGAATCAGAGGTTTCTATTGGCAGCTTCTGAAATACAAATAACAACGTACTCATCCTCACTAGAATTTAACTTGCTTTATAATTGTCTTGCATATACCTGCAACACTGAACTTTTTCATCACTAATCTCCACATTAACAGTATTTTTGCATCCCCAGTCATTCTTGGCTGGTCATGTGAATGAATCACCTCTTTTTTTCCTTTTCTTCTTTTTACAAAAAAACCAAACCAAAACAAAACAAAACACCAAACCTTCCCTTATCAGCTGTGTTACTTTTCCCAAATACAAGTTTTCATTCATCAACATCTACCTCCTACAGTTATCTTTTTTTTAACTAACATTTTTTGCTGTGCCTCTTAAATAGGATATTGATTTTTGAGGGTTCTGGCGTCTGAAAACCTCAACCAATTCTCAATACATTAATATCGTGACAAGTTTGAATTCTTCTTTTTATTTGCTGTTATATTATCTCCAAATTTGAAAAAATATTCATTTAAAAAAAAACACACAGAGTGTTCACTATTCTTATATATAACACACACACTCTAAAACAAACTTGAGATGATCGCTTTTTGGAGATCAGTCTGATATTTAGAGTATAGACACACACATATTTTCCCATGAAAACTACCCTGGTCATGGTCAATGGCACTTAGCCATCTATGACTCTCAGATAATCGCCAAAAACTAATCATCTCAAGTTCCTTTTAGTGTTTTTCAGAAAGTCAATATTAAAAGGAACTTTTTAAAAAAATCAAGTTATTTATTAGTGAAAAGGTAAGACCAATACCTTCTGTCCAAAAAAGTAAAGCTCCCCTAAAATACAAACTTAGTGTCTATACAGTATTTTTAAAGTTGTTAGTGCCATTCATTCATTCTCTCTCTGAAACAAACTCACAAATTGTTCTGATTTCATCTGATTGGATTAAGATCCACCTGCATCTAACATCACGTGTCAATAATGCAAGCAACTTGGGTCAAATATATTTAACATTTGATCAAAACCAGATTCTGAGTAAGAAAAATGTAGCATTTCCATGGCTTTCTAACACTATCTCTCCTTAGGGACCAAAAACCTGAACACCAGTCAAAGGTGTTACAAGTCAAACAACTAATCACAACATCACAGACTGCTGGTCAGAAGGGACATCTGGAGGCCATCTTCTCCACCCTCCTACTCAAAGCAAAGTTATTGTCAAGGTTACATCAGGTCAGTCATGCCTTTATCCAGCTGAGTCTTTAAAATCTCTAAACGTGGCAAATCCTCTACGTCTCTAGCAATCTTGTTCCTTGTAGAGGACAAGTTTACCTTAATATCCAATCTGCACCTCCCAAGCCACAATGTGGGACCACTGGCCCTTGTTATATCATCTGCCACTACCAAGAAGAGTTACATAAATCTTCATCTTTGCAATTGCTCTTCAACCTCCCCTTTCAGCTGCTCCTTGGAAATTATGTGCCCTGGACCCCACAGCACTTTGGCAGCCCTCCACTGGAGCCCTCTCCAGTTTCTCAGTATTCTGCTTGAACTGGGGTTCACAACTACACACACATAGTCCGACACAACATTGGCCTCGTGCATGCTCAGAACTCACCATCACCCTCATTTCTTGCTCTAGCTACACTTCTCTTGTTTACAGCTTCCTCTCTTCAACATCAGGTATCATTCCTATCCATAAACATGCTAGCGACTTACTCATATACAACCCATTCAAAATATTTCTTGGCTCCTGATTCTTCTGCACACCTCTATGGTTTCAACCTGCCACACAGTACAAAGAAAAAAAAATCCCAAACACCACATCACATGGATATTTGAACAAAAAGGATGTGTAATGTTTATTTAGCATTCAGCAACTCAAAAGCTTATCAATGTAGTAAGTCCAGACAAAGAATATACCTTCGGAAATTCTATTGCATCTCATTTCCTTGAAGATGTCACCACCCACCTTCAATGTCACAAGGCATTTTTGGTAACCTTTTCCTCTACTCTGAAGATTCCTGTCTCTCACCACTTAACATCTCAAACACAATGGACCAGTTCTGGCCACTTTGCAACCAACACACCTCCATGTGCTACCCTCACACGAAGAAGGCCAAGAACCTTCTGATGAAATGGAACATGGACTTTCCTAAATGCACTTCTGAGAGGAAGCTGTGTTTTGTTCCTCCCTTGACAAGTTAGCAAGGAACAATCATTGTGGGAGCCTTAGCACCTACGGGGAGGTACAGCAGTCTTACCACAGACTAGCAAAAGCTCTTCTTCGAAGGTCTCTCCTACTGCTGCCTAACACCAGCACATCACAGAGCTGAGCAGGACACTTCCCATTAATCCACTGCTGCCTCTTCTAAGCAGAATAAACCCTGTCATGGTATCCAGGTCCCAGGAAAGCAATCTTCACTATTATCTCCATAGCACCAAATAATACTATCCAAACATTTCCCATACATAGATACCTGTAATTGAGAGATACCCTTCTATCTTGCCACAATAGCTACAGCTTTCCTAGAGAAGTGGTCAATGCCCCAAGCCTGTCAGTTTAAGAGGCCTTTGTACAATGCCCTTAACAACATGCTTTAACTTTTGGTCAGCCCTGAAGTGGTCAGGCAGTTGGACTAGATGATCATTGTAGGTCTCTTCCAACTAAGGTGTTCTATTTTACACTACAATGAAGAACCTCTCCACAGACTTAAGACATACTGCTCTGCTTTAAGGGCCAGGATGCCTAAAGAAAACTTTATATTCTGAAAGATTCCTGCTAATTTCAAAGAAGAGAAGTCTTCCACTCCCATCAATAATACTTCCATTCCTGGGTATTTTTTCACCTCTTAGGCATGTATAGGTTCTGATGCTACGTAAATTTTTTAAGGAAAGTCATACATAGGTCTCCTTCCAAAGCAGCAGCAACTACTGATTTACCTCACAGCAGGTGCCATCTGCAAGGGGATTCCACATTGTACAAAAACAAGGAATGAAGATTGATATTATAATTGAAACAGTTTGCCAAAGAGGTGAACATATTCATCTATTAATCTTTAGAAAGAGGTATCAAACTCTTATCATGTGAATTAATCTTCTCTATTAATTTCATGCACACTGGTGAAACTTTCAGTAATCCCAATTCTCTTATTGCCTAACAGTCTTATAAACACTCTTAAACTCTAACAGCAACATAATAAAGACTACTGGCTGACAATTTGTCTTCTCTCATAGTTTGATTTTAAAAGCAGCAATAAAAAGAAGAAAATAATTACTATACTTTGTCATTTCATTAAAAAAAGAAACAAAACAAAAACAAACAAACAAAAACAACAAAAAAACCACAAAAAACCCACAAACATAAAATCTATACTGATCCAAAGGAAAAAACGGGCAATTTTCAGCACCATCAAAACCATTTTTTATATGGAAGTTTTCTTAGGACATGAAAGGCAGTCTTCTTCATACTGTATGACATTGTATTCAGAAAAACTAGGAAAGCAAAAACAAAGACAGCAAAGCTTGACAACATGCTTAATTCCTCCTTGGTGATAGATATGTGTGTTGGTATTTCATTACCACTTAAGATAAAAAAAAGAAACTGTCAAGATCTATTTTATTTGTAAGTTTGGAAAGATGACTTTAAGGTATCTACTAAATACAATTATATATCATTAATATATTAATAATATAGATATTTAAGTCAGAATTCAATATAGTCCTTGACAAAAATACCATCCAAACCTTATGCTGTTAATTACGTATTAATGGCAATACCATAGCAACAGAAACATTGTCTGTTCTCCTACTGAGAAAGATCTGCTAGAAGAAACATTTGTGTTTCAGAGATAACATCCAGTATTTCCTCTAAGACTACATGAATCACCCTTCTCAGATTTTTGCCATAATGTTTTTGAAAATAACATTTTCATGCTTGAGAATATAACGCAAAAAAGAAATAATCTAGGTAAGTACTGTATAAGAAATTCTTGCTAAAACACTCCTGCCATAGAAAAAAAAAAACTAACCAAACAACAAGATCAAAATCAAAAAACCATTGTTTTGAATCAGTAGCCAAATTCAGTTCAGAATAACCTGTGGGAAGATGTGTTCAATTTCGGCTTCTGGAAAGCAGCTGGTGCTGGCCTTCGGCAGGAGCACCTGCTTCTCAGAGGGCTGAGATGGGAAGTGGTATACATGTTTCCTAAAAATCAATTTAACACCTTTGACAGAAGACATGATTAAGGAACACTTGCTACCAACTCAACTAAATAAATACACATTTCAAATACCTGCATTCCCAAAATTCTTTGTTTTTTTCCTACAGCTGGATAATTAGCAAATAGAACAGAAGTAAGTAATACAGCATCTTTTACTAGCATTCTAAACTAGACAAAAGTGAGTTACAAAGGATAAGCCTACCTTGCTGATGGCAAAATATTTTGGGACACTGTCTAATAATAAGACTTAAGAGGATACTGTAAAATAGTAACACTGAAAAAACCGTGTAGCTTGTTCTGTAACTTTCTAAAATTAGGTATTTGCATTATTAAGTATTATGTATCTCTTACCATCTTCATTCAGGAACAATTTGTTGAATCTTAATCCACTAGGCTCTTTACCAACATATCTGTGCACATACTCTGTGCCAAGATCATTAACAGCAATAGCATATTTCAAAGGCTTTACACAGGACTGAAGACAAAATGGAACTTTGGTATCGCCAACAGAATGCCTGGGAAAAACACAGATGAAGAGGTTTGAAATTTCCTGTTTGCCAGCGGTGGCAAGTACAGCATTAAATGCTTCATCTATTCTTCAAGATACTAGGACCATCAATGAAAACACCCAAAACCCCAAAAACGTATTATTACCAAGTCTTATTTTAAAGAGCATAACAAAAAGATTTAAAGGTTTTAACAACTGCCTCCATAATTTAAGTGTAACAAAGTCAGTTGTTGGTGATCACTGCAGATGTAACAAAATAAAAGCAAGCATAGAAATGGGTTTGTACAAGAGCAACAACAACAACAACAACAAAAAAAATCACCTCAGACCTCCAGTATTACACACCCTACTAATCTGCAAACCACCTACTCAACGGGATACAGCTGACCTGAGTACAGCCACTATACTTATTTATGTCTATATAAACAAAGCTGAGATCGAATCTGGTTCTGGAATTTGAGGGCAATAATTAGCTATATTTACATTCCCTTTGATAATGGCAACGGTATTTAATTACAACTATTAAGTTCTATCTTTTGGAAAGTTTCCTTTCAACAGTAAGTCAGACTGCATCAAAGAATGACAGCATACGCCCCAGCTAGAGCAAAAGGCTCCAAGCAACCACTTGCCTGATGGCAAGTCAACAGTGTATTTGCTTCTTTTCTTTGCAGAAAACATGAGACCGTTTCAGAGAAAACTCACAAAATTATTTTGGCACTATAAAAACTAACATTACACAACATTAATTAAACATTACAAAAACTAGCATTATAAAAACTTTCATTAGTACATGTTATAATATTCAAAACAAAGCAAAATGCCAATTTAAAATATTCAAAAAGGGAGAACATGTTTCATTTTAAAGCTGGTTTACTACAAATAGATTGTAATTCAGCCACTTAAGCAGGCAGCTGAAAAATACTTCAGCTCACTTGTACAGCTTTTCCCCTAGAGATTACAGAGCATATGGCTAATAAGAAACAAACCTACAGATTGTAACAGATCACATTAAAATGAACCCAAATCTAGTCATCATAAGCCAGTCTGACACTCTCTAACATTGAACATCTAAAAATTATGGTGTTCAGAATATGCAGCATGACCATATCAAACTGCAGGCCAGCAGAGACATGCAAGCTGATGAGTATCTCATATTGTCTAGTCACAAAGGTGGACACAGAATAGTTTACCCCAGTTTTCAGCTAGTTGGTGCAAGATACTCCTTTACATTTAGGCTCGTAACTGTCTCTGTTACACTGAGTTAATAATAAAGAAAAAATAAAAATAAGATCACTCTAGCTATATCTAAGACCTACAAACACCCTTACAGAAGAAAGTTTAATAAACCTGAAAAGCAAAATCATGTTAAGTTCTATCCCATTTCCACAGGTTCATTTTCTTTTTAAAGAATATGGACCTGAATTTTTGTGGTGCCACATAGTGACCATATAACAATGCTACAGTAAGAACATTAAAATGCAGAAAAGGAACTAACTTTTAAGTGCATCGTAACCTACAGAAAAAGTAATACAGCTTGAGGCACAGGTACTATTAGACAAAGCTCTTCAGCTTCCAAAGATCAATACCACGTAAGCATTGACTCTATCTTGTCCTTTGGTAATCATCAACAACCACCCACAGCTTCATTATTGTCTTTGGATCATAAGCAAAATATAATCCAGCTTCAAATGTAGTACCTACAAATACTATTTAAAGAATATTTTATAATAATAGCAAAATAATTCAGCTTAAACAGAGAAGTTGAAAAAAAGTTAAAATGACCACGTGGATTTGACTTCCTAAACACCACCAATAAAACTTTCTTTACTAAACCATAAGATACTATGAAGTGCTGTATGTGTCAGATAGTTTAAATAACTAAATAGCAAAATCTGTAAGTTAGAATATACCTCTGTCCATCCACTGTGCAAAGTGAAACACCCCACAAATCAGGGCTGAACTTGGCCAGTTGTGGAATATAGTCAGCAACCTATCACAATGTGAAGTAAAGAGAGACATTACAACATCCAAAATATTTAACTGTATGTTAACATATGTTAATTAAAATAAATGTCAATGGAAAAGATACACAACATACAACTGAATTATTCCACTAATAATCACCTAGTATATCTAAAACTTCATTACAAATTATTATATTCCCTGGATCATTATGAAATAAAACATTTTTTCAAAGTACAAACTTCAGCACATTCCAAGGGGAATGTCTGTTCTGTGTTACAGCACGTTCAGCATTTTCAAATCATACACAATTTTAGCTTGTGATAGGCTGGGGTTTTTCAATTCATTTACTGAAAATAAGCACTAGAATAAACTTTAATTACTAACACCGGTATGGTGCTGACAATTATTTCTGTCACACAATCCAGACAGCATAATGCTTTTCTAGACTAAGTTTAGTCTGACAAATTTACAGCAGTCTTATAGTTTACATAAAATAAAGAAAGAACAACACTATTTTCTCATTCTAACCTCAAAACTCTACAAGATTGTTAGAGGTAAGGAGCTGTATTTCTAACACAGTTTAGAAGTTGCAGACATAACTGAACTTCCAAAACTCTTTCATCAAGTTATCAGTTTAACACTTTGCTAAAAACGTTAACAAAAAATCTGTCTACTTAACAAAGAACGTATTTGGCCAATATCAAGAAATCTATACAAGTAAGAATTTACAAACAGGTTACCTTTCCTCCAGATTGTTTTTTAGCACTTTCATATAGCTCATCAATATGTGAAGTAAACGACATAAAATCTGGAATGACAAACTTCCTCCTGAAAGCTTGAGTAAGCAACACAATATTACTTTGTACACACCTGCAAAAAGTTTAAAAAGTTTATTAGTATTTTGACAAAGTCAAAAAGCCTACTTAAGTAGCAATTACATGTTACTTAAATAAGGATTGTCAGTCCCTTGAAGTTATATGCCTACAAGAACAAGTCTTTATTAGAAAGAATTTTCATTTTTTAAAAAAATTATTTACAATTGTTTCATTAGATCTTTATGCTTTCTACTTAAAGTTCTTCTTTGAGGTTTCAACTGTGAGGTTGTACTGCAAGATACTATCAGTTTGCCTTCACGTAGCATCTAAGCTTGCAAAAGGGATCTAAGCCACCCATTTCTTAGGATCAAGACACGCAAAGGTCATCTAATCCAGCCCTTGTCCCAGGGACTGCTAATTTTAGAGTTAGACTGGACTTCTGAGGTTCAGGGTTGGATTCTCACTTCCAACCAGTTTCACCACGAAGCCAGCAAGAATGGTGCCAACAGCCCGAACTGGAATGAGTTTCCACTCTAAATAACAAAACCCTGTGGAAGTGCTTTATAACATCAGCTAAACTAAGCAAAAGTTAACAGTGAGCAGTACTGCAAGTCTCTTGCTTCAAACTACCACCAGTTAAGGAATCTTTGCTGCCTTTTAACCCAGAACACAGTTACATTATCGTCCACACCCTCTGAACACCAGCCCATCTGTACATTTAAAAAAACGGTGAGGTAAAAAGGAAAGGACTTAATCTAAGAGAAACAGAATGGAAGTATCAAAACACAAGCTGAGACATGCTGCTGGAAGTGATGTGCCTGTGGGTAGGGGGTGAGCACCAACAGGGGTGGGAATCAGGAGCCATTATCACGTCAGTTGAAATACGACCTGATAAAGGGTATTAACAGGCCTATCCCAGTGGAAGGAAGAGAAAGGGAGATTTAACACCAAACAAACAGTTTCATTAACACATGCATATTGTGCTTTCTAGCAGTGTTGACAAAAGCAGAAACATATTGTTAATACAGACAAACAGAAAGTTAAGAGCATCTGGGCCCATACTACAAAGGAGAACATATCCTTCCAACGAAACTTATTCAGAAAAGTAAAAAATTAATTTTTAGGGAAATATTTCCATTTGGAATAGATACTTCCACTAATCCTACTATTAAAAGTCATTATCAGTTCAAAACGACGAAGATGCCGTGAACGGACAGAATTATCTTCCCTTTAAATCTGCCTCACTTTTTTTAAAGCTCAGTTTGATCTCCTTTGTACTTAGGAGACTATCCCAAATTCAACTGACAGCCATTTAAAACGCTGGTAGGCACTACTCTCCAAGAGTGAAAGAGAAACAGCAGAGAAATTTCCACTGTACACACTGGCATCTTCAGAATTGCTCTGTCTGCAATATGCTGCTTTGTTACGTTAAAATTGCAGTTGAGTTGGTTTTGTTGAAATTTGTCATGCTTATCCACTCCTTTTTTACATATTTTGAAAAAAATCCTGTTTGTTTTTGTTCCCAGCAGCCTCCAACTACTCCAGGTGCAACAATCCCTTTTCAGAAGTAATTAGTAACAGTTATAGCAGCTATGTGTGCCCAAAGAATAACAATATAATATGCACTTTGACATTGTCTGTGCCACCTGGACAGCACTAAGCACTCTTGTCAGAAAAAAAAAAAATTTCAAGTTCCCCTAAACCCATTAGAACAACTCAATATGAAGTGTGGAAAACAATGAGAAGGCCACATGCACTGAAATACGGTCCTCCAATACCACATTAGGTTTCAGAAACAGAAAGGGTATTTATACACTTACTACTTTACACGAAGCCTAGGATGCTCACTTCAATAATTCAATCATTTTAAGCTAGACTGAAACTCACTGCAGAAATAGCTATGCTCATTAAGGACATAACCTATTTCTGCAAGAAGTTGTTGTTCCCAGACTTCTACCAAGGTCAGTGTCTGGGTATTTATCCTGCTACTCCTTAACCCTGGCAAATCAAATGCATTCACAGACTAAATTAAATACAGCGGTTCAATTAATCCAAATGGGTATTCGGAACAATTACTGCATGTACTAAATAACAGGGGTATTAGTAAGCTCCGGTTAATGGGGCAATGATATTCTCAGACAACAAAGGATGCTAGCCTTGACAGCCTCTAGTATTCTGCAACTCACATCTCCTCCCCACCTGAGTTTCGAACTGGTTTATGTTCCAGGTAACCCTTCGGAGACAAATGGTTTCAGGCTCAGGCTCCACTCAGAAGTGGAGCAGTAAAAAAGATCACAGGGAGGAATTTAAGTAAATTAATATATCGATTAATAAAAATCTTTTCTACAGTCAGACTTTTACAAACAACTTAGTCCTTATCTCCCACATACTTTAGTAGTGTTCACAATAAATACACTAAAAACTTCCCGCCTCAAATTCTTCCATTTCTCCAAACTTTATAACCTCACCCTAAAAAATTCTGTCTTGCCAAATTCTAATCCAAGCATTTCTTCCCCCATTTGAAAACATGTCTTTTCAAACTATAAAACTTCCCTGATATATTTAGGTTAGGGAGATTAGGATGCAATATAAACTTTCAGTGACTTCTATAATCCAAAAGTAACAGTTCGGGGGGTTTTTTTGAAACTGCATCTTTGATTTGTAGCATAAAGTTAGGATCACTTTTCATTTACCATACAGCTTGTTACATTTACCCATTATTTTTCAAGTTCTGACTCAGATTGCTGATTATCGCTTCCCCACACAAAGCAGACACCTGTTAAAAGCACAGTCTGAACTCCCACCAGTTCTGAAGAACTGTTCAGCTCCTATATAGCTGAATGGACACCTTTTTTTCCTGTTTAAAAAGCTGCAGTATAAGCACAACAGAAAGGAATGTGGAACTTCATTTCCAACGAGCAAGACTAGGTCTGTAGAAGTCTTCAATATATTTAGACATTTTAGGGAAAAAAAGTTACATTATTTTGACAAATGAAGTATTATTATTATAACATAGCAGAAGTCCTCTACATCTTCTGTCAAAAGCCTTCTAATTGCTCACACAGGACGAAAATATTTATTAATACCTGGGTTAAGCATATCTAAAACAAGTTTTCCTCAGGATTTGCTACCTAGATTGAGAGCAGCACAGCCACTCAGCAGCAAACAGATAACCCCGCATGAGAGCCAGCAACAGATTGTCACGTATATGTCTAGAACATAACATGCCCAGATTGATGCTTTCTACCCACAGATCAGAGGAGATTTGGCTAGCAAGACCACAGTTCTCAGTCAATAAAGCAGGACAGACAGCATCTTGTGACAAAGACTAAGTCTATAAAGCCAAGTAAGTTATTCTGAAAAACAATCAGGTTTAAACCTCCAAATTATAACTGTTACTCAGTAGCTATGATCTCACTCAAGTGTACACCATTTTCAAAATAACTCAATTCTGACTGCCTCATGTCTTTCCTTCCCCCACACTGACCAAAATATTGTAGTCAACAAATAGGGCTGTTTGCAAGTCTTCTATTTTTCTGTTAGGAATAAGCTGAGTTAAAGGAAAAGCTGAGAGAGGTAAGGAGTATTTCTTAGAAAGATTATTAGAAATTTTTCTACAAATTAGCTACAACGTCATAGAAACAGATCTAAAAAATAGATACATCAAATGTGCACACTTCATGAGGAAGATTAGCATGTACAATCTTCCATATTTGTTAAGTTGCCTAAGTTTCATCTAACAGTAGTTAGATACTATGACTACCACATTATTAAGTAGTGCCATAGCTACGGTACGAAAAACAAGAAAAGAAAAAAATCCACATAGCAAGCTAACTAGCACGCTGCACTGCTTCCAGTAAGCAGGCTATTCTCAGCATGCTACAAAGACCACGTGTTATGTTACATAGATGTAACATGAACAGCTAATTCAAGAAATTTGTCAAGCACTCTCTCTGAAACCTGCACCACTGAAGCCTTCAATGCAGGACACTCTGGAGATGAAAGATTAAAACCCCAAACTGTTCTGCCTGTATTACAGAGATTTCTTCCAAACTTTTATTTAACTGGAGAGCACAGTAAGGCCCAAAATCTTCAAAATAAAGCAATTTTAGTCAAATTGGAGCCTAATGTTTAAAAGAACCACTAAAAAAGTGTTGAAACTTGTTACAGAGACAGACATACAGATGCATTTTACAGGTCACTTCTACTGGACTTAGTCAAGCTTATGCTAGCATAACTCCACATCACTTATCCTTGATGCTTTACTTTATCTAGCAGCTTTGGATCCAAATTCCACAGGAGAATTTGAACTGAAAAGTCAGAAAAAACTGACTTTTACACTTAGGGAGCTGAAGCTTCAAAATTCTGAGGTAAGTACAGCTGAGCAGATAATTATACTTCACACGTTAAACACCTGAAGAAACAAAAATAATGCAGGAACCTTGTACCATAATCTACACAGCAAATGGCAGTGTGCCTAGGAAGAACAGGTTACCAAAGTTTGGGGGGGTTTTATTTATAAAAAAGGTAGACACTTGCTGCAGAGTAAAATCTGCTATGTGAAAAGAGATTCACCTCTCCACCCTCTGTACAGTGTTTATGTTCAAAACTCTTCCTACACAAGAAGCAACCATGTAAAGGTTTCTACAAATTATCATAGTAACAACCACTCCTCTAATGCAGAGGATCAAATCCTAGAGATGTAACGTAGAACACAGGCTAATCTTGCTAATTGGCAATCACTTGTCCTTTTTTTAATACAGAGCCCTTGCCTCAAACATAATTCATAGTTTACTATTACAAAAAAGCCTTCTAGTACAAATGTAACGCGTAACAGCAAAAGCATTTCCTTTCCAATCCAACCGTATAGCCAGGAAGGCTCCTGACTCCATAAAAATTTAGAGTTTTTACTGTGCTGACAAAAAAAAAAAAACAGCGAAGACCTGGTCTTGTTTAAAATACTGGAATAAAGCTAGTCCACATTGTACCTTTATGAAGCACCCCACATTTGATTAAGCAGTTGAATGGTTTGTTATTTTGTCACACACAAAGACATTCCTTTTTTCTCAGTGTACTTCCAAAAATGTTTACAACTATTAAAAAATATATAACCTATATACTTTGTTTATATTTACATAAACTATGTAAATATATAATATAGTACAAGCATATACTGCATATATTTTCTAAACTTGTATGTATATAACATAACATATATGCAATTATATGTGTAAACACACCTTTTTTATACACATACACATATATTTTACATTGTAACTGACAGGAGATGGCACTAAAAAGCATTAGTTCACAAATTCAAAAAATGCTACAGAAAACTGAAAATTCTGATAAAAGTATACTCTTCATGAAAGAAGCAAGTTCTAGATATTATGTCATTTACCCTGTAAATGGAATAAAAATAGAGACTCAAAAATAGTCTACAAATTTCGTTTCAGGATTTAAGAGACTTTAAACTTCCAATCTTATGGCACACAAAAACTGTAAGTAGGGGAGCAAAGGAGTGTGCTTGGAATGAACTGAAGACAACCTGAACAGCGCTTATATTGTATAGCTAACTGACCACAGGTTTTCCTTAAAAAAAAAAAAAGTAAAAAAACCACAATTACTAAAATACGGCACATAAATCTTTTCCAAAATAGACCAAAGCAGTGTCTACAGTCCTAACTTCTCTCATCTCCACATATCTTGAAATTTAACTTCACTCTATTTTTCATATATTCACTTCTAGAATTAACTACATACATACTCTGAACAACTCACTATACAGAAGCAGCATCCTGAACTGCAGATTAGGAACTGATGAAGCAGCGAGAGAGAAGTTTTATGTACGCATACTGAATACCCCATGCTGGATCAATTAATTTATTTTGAATCTGCCCCAGAGTTGCAGTATGGCGTCAGATACACACACAAACAACATTGATACATTAAACCCTTGGGGAGATCATACAAACGTCTGCAGCACAAAACCAGAGATCAAACTCATATGAAATCAGCGTCAGTGTGTGACTCCCTTTCTAATTAGACACTGATTTATATACCTTATTTTTCTCTTAAAATTTCAGACAGTAACACACAGAGAACATTCATTCCAAATTATAGAGCTACATTATTGACAGAAAGTTTACTTTTTAAAAAGGTCTTTGTCCAGCATAACACCATCTGAAGTTGTTTGAAGGGTCAGTCTTAACATATCCATGCACTCTTTCAATCGGGGATCAGATGTACGTAATCCTGTAGATTTGAGTGCCTATTACAATAAAACAATAGTTACTAAAATGAAAAGACATGCTATTACAATCAAGTTCTCTACTGCTCGATCTCATTTATCGAGATAAGAGACATCTGCCACTACACCATCGACACATGGACATTTTGACATCTTATCATTCTGCCATTTCCTTTTGCTATTTTGGCTGCATCTTATGTCAAAGGATTAATGTAATTTGAAATTCACACTGATCCAACTACATTTTACACAAGTGCAAATACTACCCAGCCCTGCCACAGACACAGGTGCTTTCAAGCACACTCTTTTGCACCTCGAAGTAGTGAGTAACAACAATAGGATACTCATTCTCTTACTTAATTACAGAAAGTGTGGGGAGGCAGGGAAATAAATAGTTACATTCCTTGCTGCAACTAAACACATATAACAAATTCTTTGCTTTGTACTCTTGCCTTTAGAATGTTGAAAGACCTTGTAGTAGTTAGCTTTCATACAGTGCTTTGGAACAATAAACTTACAGTTATGAATTTATGAACTGGTATTTTTTCTTGTCCTTCTGCAATAGTATAGAAAAGTAGATCTTCTAAGCTAGGAAGGAGACCTTGCTTCGTTTTACTGAAAAAAAAAAAAACACCACATGCATAATTAGTTTAGTGCTTATTTTTATTTATACACATTTTTTTCATTATTCACAAGGGAACACATTTTCACTACCCACATAACTGCTACCACTAATTTCAAAGAACACTTTTATCAGTGAAGACAAAGCTTAATTCAGCTTTAAGTAGGAAAAAAATGGTAATATTAAAAGTAACAAACATTCTTAACTGAAACGTAGTCATTTTTTCACTGACATACATTTACTGCTATGATTATATTTAGAAATTTTTTGGAGCAGATGCATCATGTTTTCCTCTTCTTGATGTTACAGAGGACAGACATGTTACTTGCACAAAGTATTTATCAGAATCAGAGACCTACATGCCTCATAACAAAGCTGCAGGAGCAGACTGCCCCAAAGGTTCCATAGGCAAGAAAAAAGAGATGATGAACATGCACTATTTTCCTCAAAACAGTTCTGTTTTTAGAAACTCCTAGAAGGAGTCCCAAAGCCCTTGTCCTTCTAGAAGGCTATGTAAGCCACATCAGTTACAGTGAAAGCAAGCAAAGCCATCTGCAGCATAGTACAGTAATCTGAACCAGCTGAGGCACCAGAAGCAGTAACTCTCATGGTGCATATTTGGCAAAGCTAACCTGCAATGTAGCTACATCTTTAATGGTCACTATGTTTATTAATGTGAATACACCAAGCATTCCATGTGTTAACCATTCTATTCTAAGATATGCTTCCTGTGTGCCTGCATTTTTTATAACTTATGTCTCTATTTCAAGTGAAATGCGAAAGAAACCTACCAAACGAAGCATCAACATTACTCCCACGAAAGAAAGCTGTAATACTGTCACCTTTTCCTCAAAGTCTTTGGAAGTTCTCTATTGGTTTAAAATCAGAGTTTCACCTCTCCTTGATATTCCAAAGCACCCTGCAGCAGGCAGGAGCACAAGTCTGTACTCTGTTTTTATGATTCCCCTTAAGTACAGCATTGTATTGGACAGCTGGAATGTACACTTCCAAACTGCTCAGGGCAATGATAGAAAAGAGCTTCAATGACCGATTCTTTTGGTCCCGTGAAGTCTTTTCTAGACAAAGTCAGTTTAGAGAAAGACGATGTTCTGATGTTTGACAAGCAAAAGTAAATAAAAACAAAAGAGTTCTCTAGTAAATGTAGACCTTAATGCAGCCTTACATTATTTTAGCCACCAATTTTAAAGCTCAGTCTTATAGTCTAGTAATATTGGCAGTATTTTGTTACTATACTGTAACATATAAAGGTTACTGCCCAAAACTAGAATGCTCAGTGACAATCTATGTATTTTTATACACGTATGCATGTGTGTACAAAAAGGAGGTCTAAATTCTAGTCACAAAAGTTTTCACAAGATTAGTAATTCTTTGTATCAGTACTCAACTATGAAAACAGAATACTGCAACTAAGCACAGACCCTAGGTAGGCCAACGCAGTCTTACAGACTGACATTTAATCCTCCCTCCTCTCCCAATACTAGCTTACTCTAGCTCAACAGGTCTGATTTATTATTATATTTAATAAAAATATTTCAAATTTAAGACAACCTCTAAACTGCACTTACTTCCCTCCTTTCCTCATAACTAGCAGTGAAAACCAGTAGTAAAAAAATCTCACTTCTCATTTTCCAATTTATTTAAAACACCGTACTTACATGCTAAGAACAGAAGACAGCTTTGTAAGCTAACAGAACTTTCCTTGTCCTCCAGTTTGGATTTTTTTTTTTTTTAATGATACTGGCTGACTAATGCACAGACAGCCTGGCAATTCAACCAAGACAAACTCTTGCAACTACCTCAAGAAAATTACTGAACACCCTTTTTCCTAAAGAAAATTCAAGTCTTCCGCACAGCACATTGGGCTTTCAATCTTTTGAGAACAGTATGTCCAGTCAAGCCAACAGAACCAAAACTAACATACCAATTAAAGCGTCATCCTGTATCTGCATCCTAACTCTGCAGACACGTACTTTTTAAAGCTATGCTGAGTTACATAGTCTACACCCTTACATCTTCCCCATGTACACAGAGCGTTTAACTAAGCTCCACAAAGCGTCAAGATTTCATGTTTTAAGGACTGTCTTGGCTACAAGACTCATTACCGGATTGCTGAAGGTCTGACAAGGGAAACTTCCATATTTCACTTTGACAAAATAAGATGGCAAACACATTGAGAAATTTTAACTGATAACCTATTTAACTACATGTTTCTGAGCTATTACTCAGAATTTTACAGCTGTTCCAAATGTGGAATTTCTATCTGGAAAGGTGCAGGAAAAAAACTTCAGACATTTGACCAATATTATCTGCCTCTTTGCAAGATTTTAATCTATTAAAGAGATGTGCACCTTTCACAGCATAAATTCTCCCTTGACATATTTTCCATATCTTTCACATCTGTTGCTGTTCAATATTGGGTCAGTCAGCCTAATTTAACAATGGATCTACACTGACTGCCAAAGCAAAGAAGATGGCATTCAATGTATTCACAGAAAATTGCTCTTTGTCAACTAGTCCATCTTTTGATAAAATTTATCAGCTAAATAGAGGTGGAAAGGCTTGCTCTGCAGTTTATCAGGTCAGTGATGTCAGTACCTAACGTTTGCTTAACCTAAAAGCTATGTTTTGGCACTGTGAGCACACTTAGCAAGATAGTGCTGTTCAGCACACATTGTAAAGAGCTGTTTTTCCAGTCAGGGAACTTGCAATTTCCACAGTCAAATTAAAGTGGAAATTCCAGTTCATTCCATTTCATGAGTATGACTTTTGATACTTATTCTCCTCCTTTTTTTAAAAAAAAAAAAAAAAAGTAAAATTAAGCACCAGACTATTACACAACTAGACTTCTTCAGTGGCACTCTAACCTGTGGACTAGAATACTGACAGATGCTCTTTAAATATAAAGAGAAAAAAGAATGCAGGAATTCCAAGCACAAGAACTTTGCAGTCTGTATCGTTCCTTCCTTCTGCATCAGTACAATGCTTAAACCAGATTCCATAGAGGATTTCATTTTAACAAAAGCTGAATTATAATTTCTACAATATAAAAGAGATTAAATTTAAAATACAGTGAAAGTTTCCTACTTTGTATTCAAGCTGTAACTGGCAAAATACAGAACAGGATTTACAGAACTACAAAAGATACAAAGATATGATACTGTTAATAACAGTTTCGGGCTTATTATTAACCGCAAGACACCAGTCAAAAATATGAGGTCACAACAACTGTCCCTCAGGGAACCATACTGTTTAATATCTTTATCAGTGACACAGCCAGAGAGATCAAGTGCACCCTCAGCAGGTTTGCAGATGACACCAAGCTGAGTGGTGCTGTTGACACACCTGAGGGACGGGGTACCATCCAGAGGGACCTGGACAAGCTTGAGAAGTGGGTGTGTGTGAACCCTGTGAAGTTCAGCAAGTATAACTGCAAGGTCCTGAACCTGGGTTGGGGCAATCCACAGTATCAATACAGGCTGGAGGATGAAGGGATCGAGAGCAGCCCTGCTGAGAAGGACTTAGGGGTGCTGGTGGATGAAAAGCATGAGCCAGCAACGTGTGCTCACAGCCCAGAAAGCCAATGGCAGCCTAGGCTGCATCAAAAGCAGTGTGGCCAGCAGGTCGAGGGAGGTGATTCTACCTCCCTACTCTGCCCTGGTGACACCCCACCTGGAGTGCTCTGTCCAGCTCTGGAATCCTCAGCACAAGAAATATATGGACCTGCTCATCACAAAAATGATCAGAGGGATGGAGCACCTCTCCTACAAGGACAAGCTGAGAGAGTTAGGGTTGTTCAGCCTGAAGAAGAGAAGGCTCCGGGCAGACCTTATAAAGGCCTTCCAGTACTTAAAGGATGGCTACAGGAAAGATGGTGGTAATCTTTTTAGCATGGCCTGTTGCGACAGGACAAGAGGTAATGGTTTTAAACTAAAAGAGGGTAGATTTAGACTAGATACAAGGCAGAAATTTTTTACGAGGGTGGTGAAACACTGGGACAGGTTGCCCAGAGAGGTGGTAGAAGCCCCATCCCTGGAAACATTCAAGGTCAGGTTAGACAGGGCTCTGAGCAACCTGATCCAACTAAAGATGTCCCTGCTCACTGCAGGGGGTGGGAGTAGATGGCCTTTAAAGGTCCCTTCCTGCCCAAACTACTCTATGATTCTAAGAAAGCTGCAAGGGCTGCAACCCGTAGTTGGTAGCCACTCTATCTAAAACAGGCATCTTGAAGTTGTCACCAGACTACAGATAACCGATCTCCAACTAAGAGATATAAACACCTGTCAAGTCACTACTTTCTGTCCGCTTGCACAGTTAGACACTGATCCCATTAACAGCGGTGCATAACCATTTACTGAGAACTTACCAAGATGCAGACAAAACTACATATTTATAAACATAGACAAAAGACGGACATGTTTTAGTAGATGTCAGTGTTTATGGTAAAAACAAGAACTGTTGCTTCAAAACCTTAGTCTCTAAGGAAGTTATGAAAGGTCTAATGAAAGCGCAGTTCTAACAGTTTCTTGCATCTGTGTGTATCTTCTTGCATCTGTGCGTATTATATCCACACTCTGACTAACAGGATTAACAGTGAGACGAACCACTGCCTGGTTACCATACGGTTATTCCTCCAGAATCTGGCCTGGGTGCAAAAGCCAAATTCGTTTTAAAAGATATCTCCAGAATTCATCCCTGTCCTTAAAAAGGAGCGCTACCACTCCCTTGACACTTCAAGGAAAAAAAAAATAAAATTAATAAAACACTTCCATTAACCATTTTGCTATATTCCATATACTAGTACCCATCAATACTGCAATGTAGCTATACTTTAAAGTCAGGGTTGCTCACATTTTGGTTCTCCCTCACCTTATCAAGGCCTTTGTAATTTAGAAATAGCCTACACTAAGATAAACTATGTTTGAATCTACTACTGTCCAGTGTAAGATGGAAAAACAACAACGCACACTTATACTGCAAGTAAAAGTTGTTCACTTTTGCAGTTATATTGAAAGTAGAAGTAAATGCTATTAAATATTATACAAGTTTATAATTTAGGACTGTACTATGTTATTGTGCTTTAATTTTTTATGCATGAACATAGATATGATTCCATTTTAAACCACAGCCTTTATTAATAAAAATTATCAGTCTATGACCACTCGCAGTTCAAGCTCAAATATTTTCCTTTCCAAAATGCATTAAGTTTCAGGTGAATACCCAGACTGAAGGCTGGATAGCAGGGATAAGGAGGTGGTGGAAGACATTTAAGAAAAAAAAGCAAAGAGAATCTGATTATGCAATGGGATACTACCTATTTCATCAGCCACAGACCTCATAATTTATTCCCTCTATGAGGAATTAAACTGCTCTAAATTTCTGTACAGTCTTTGCACAGAACATTCCAGGTTTTCACTTGCAACTCCTGCTCCCTGTATACAAGACTGTTAGGCAAGCAAACAAGCAAGAAAATCTTAGCACTGTCTTTTGACATTATAGGTTATTCCAGTATCCTACGACCATGACCTTACAACCAAATAGAAAAAAATAATCCCCCAAAACAAACAAACAAAAAGAAAACGTAAAAAGGACTACTGTCTTCCCAGTTGGGTCCACAAGCTGTATGCCAAACACAACTCAAACATTATACACGGCTGGATGGCAAAGTGCTGGAACTGGCAAAACACACAGACTGTACTGACTCAGCCCAGTTGTCACTTTAGTCCAGAAACCTGTCTTTTGAAGAACTTTACTTTCCTTCTGAACCCTGCACACTGTCTTAATATAGCAGTGATTTCCACATGCAATGTACCATTTACAAATGCTTAAGGAAGATTTTTATAGTTCTACATTAAGGACAGTAAGAATGAAAGCATCCAGCAGCCTGGCTAACGTGCCACTAGGAACTCCTGCCTAGCCTGAACCGAAAAGAAACTGTTTCCAGCTTTTTCCTTGTTCGTGACTCTATGCTATATATTTTACACAATTGTTCCTTCTTCATTTTGCAGTAAGGCTCAATGAACAAGCATCTGACTTTCAAATACATCCTTTTGTCAAAAGCCAAAAACTATTAAAAGTGTAAAACTGGTTTGTAGCTACACAGCTTTACCAGACATATTAGAAATTTTAGGATTTCCCTACCTGATGCTAGCTGTAGGAAGCTGTTACAAAAGCTCCATTCAAGAAAATGTTACCTCTTTAATAAATCACCTTTTCAACATCGTCAAAACCCCCTCACAGTTGGCATACTGGTTTTTCCTAAGTTTTTAATGGTAGTGTCTGTATTTTTCAATGAAAACGGAAGTACAACCTTTATAAACCACGCCTACTTGAGCCACAGCCGACTAATTTTTTTGTTCCAAAACATTATGTACAGAGCTAATTCAAAGAGAAGACTTCATATATGTTGAACAATAGTATAAATGTAATGATACACAAGATCATGCATTATATTGTACATGGTTATATAACCTGACATGCATGCATTTCTTTAAGGAGTTTGACAGAAGAAACCATAAGTGATGCCTTTAAAAACAACCTATATCCCATTGAAACAAAAGGCTTGAACTGAGCTGAGCAGCTAAGACATTTCATGGGAGCTTCTTTCTCTGCCTGCCATGTTGAAGGAGTACAAGTTCCTAAAAAAAAAAAAAACAAAACAAAACAAAAACACCCAAAAAACAAAACCCACAACCCAAAAGCAGAACTACTAACTGGCCTTGTGGAATCTTTTCAAGACTTCCTCTTAGCATTAGTCTAACAAAGACTTTGCTCAGTGTTAAAACAAGGTACTCATTTCTTGGCCTTACTTCCTCTGCCTTTTGCTTTGTCCATCTAGGTAATAAGCACAGCAAAGCCTGGGAAAGTGGCTTGGCTTTAGATTTTAATTATGCCACCCTATAATTGGTGCAAAGAAGACTCATGGGCGGCCTACATGAAAGCCAAGGGGCATGTTCCAAATGTGCACAAAGGGGATGGGTCTTCATGGGGCTTTAAGTTAAGCTGTCAAACTTCTTGTAAAAGGCTATCAGAGACACTAAGTGTACCCACATTCAAACAACCAATGGGCAAATTGTCAGATGGGGGGGAGTGGGAAATGAACAAGACTTTTTCAAGACCTGCATAATGCTGAGGACTAACAGAGCAGAGTGCTAAGGAGAACCATCAATCCATTTACCTCATCGTTATACTCCATCCGTGGTATCCACTACTGGTCATCACCAGGGACACAAACTGGAGCTGATACACCTGTCCTTGACCTATTTTTTTAACAATATTTCAGGTTCTAAGTGAAGGAATATTAACTTCATAAACATATACAGTCTTATCATTCTATTACCTGCATGTACTTTTGTCACTTATAGACAGATGAGCACCTCTTGGCACAGGGACACGTTCCGCAGCACTTATGGACATTTGTACACACCACTAACAGGTGGTAATACCTATCCCTAACTGCACTCGATGTAGGTGTAGAGAAGACAGTGCTGCAAAACTTCGAGCACAGAACTACAGTCCACTTATACTGCCTTTAATAATTAATGTAAGATGACACAGCTTTCACTTCTCTTGGAAAATATTTTATGCAAGTAGCAGCGCTAGAAAAAACACACTAACGCACTGTCTCCTCTGAGCCAAACGCGGGCACCCTCCACACATACCACAGCCTTACGTGGGAGGGACCCCAAGCCCTGTGGAAGCTCAGGGCGTGGACAGGATCCCAAGCAGCGCTGACGGCAGCCCCGAGAGGGGCACACGCTCCCCACGCCACGCGTCTGCGCTTCCTTCCCGCTCTGAGCCCGCCTTCCACGACGCGCGGGACTCCAACAGGCTGGGCAGCCCGGCACCTCGACACCGGGCGGGCGCCCCGAGCACCCACCCGGCGGGACGCGGCAGCCGGGCCCGCACC